AGACCTTGGTCTATGCTTTGCTTAATTACTCCAGATTCTAGCTATGGCCTCACTTTAAATCATGGTTATGCAAGAGATCTAGACCTAAGCATCATTAATCACCCATCAAACAACCATAATATTTTCGACCCTTAATCCACTAAAGAGATTACTCACTAATCATCATGAAACAACAAAAGCATAAGTAAAAGAAGACGTAATCCTCTATATGTTAATTGATGAGACACTAAAATAAAATTCTAGGTGTCATTCAACGAGGGTTTTAGGGGACACATCATTTAATTTAACGAATAATAACATTTGAATTAAAACTTTATGCGATGATGAAAATCTCTACATATTTTCATTAATTTTATAAAATAAACTCAATAATACATGTTTTATAAATTTAAGCCTAACTAAATATAATATTTTAAATTTACCATATCATCTATTTTTCTGATAACAAGCGTATATATGCATCTATATTAGTAAAATGTACAAATGTTTTAAATATGATGTAGTCTATGATACATATTTAATCACACGTATAAATATTTATACATTTTATTATTGGAAAAGACATATTTTTTCGTTTATTATATAAAAAAATCATATAAATCTAAAATTTCTTATTTATCGTATGCTCTATAATTATACGAATAATGAAGATCAACTTTACACGTAAAAGATACTGAAATAAATAACATTTACAAATATTTTTATCAATTTTATACATAAAAAGATAAAAGCTAATGGCATTAACATATGCTTGATTAACACTATTTAATTTTATTACATTTATGTACAATAAATATCATTTTGCACGTTTATAGATATTAAAAATCATATGATTTGTCATTTAGCAAACTTTCTTGTTTTGCTTTGAAATTTTCCAGATTTGATCTAATTCGATGTAAGACCTAAAAGTTTTAAGATGTAAATTCCTTAACTTTTTAGCTCTGAAAAGATTTTTGAACTCCGACTTTTTATTTCTTAATATTACTATGCAATATATTATCTCATTATGTTGTCTCTTGATTCATGTATCAGTAGTCTCCCAATTGGATTGTAGGGTTTCAAAAGGTCATAAACTTCTCACTCAGATTGCTAGAATCATGATTTATCTTCTAATTCTTAATCTATTGTTGTGTTTATCGCTTTAACTAGTTTGATTATCTAGTTTATGATACTCTCTCCGTTTCAAAATATAAGTTGTTTTAGAGGTTTTTTATGTTTCAAAATATAAGTTGTTTTGAGAATCCTAAGTACTTTTTAGCTTTATTGACTGTGTGTGACCAATAGTATTTTCCAGTCGTTTTTTTATTGGTTAAATTATTTTTATTATATATATAAGATGATACTTTTTCAAAGAAAAGTAGTTTCTTAATATTCGTATTTTTAGGCAAAACAACTTACATTTTAAAACGGAAAGAGTAATAGATTTATTTACTCATCAAAATTGTAACTAAATTTTCTGAAAGAACGTAGATGAGAAAAGTGTCATTACCCAACGAAAGTTAATGATAGGTGATTTTGTAAACATATCAAATTTGAATTTCAATAGCTTCATGAATTCAAATGACAATTTAAGGTTTCAGATTTGGTAGACATAATAATTAATTTTTACGACAGTTGGTCGGTTATAAATTCGTGATTGATTTCAATTATTTTGTTGGTTTAATTGTTTCCATGTTCGATTATTTGTTTATGTAATCTATGTTTCCCTGCAAAATTTTATGATGTCTAACGCTTTAAATGTGTGA